TCCGCCCTTAACACAACTTGGCTCCAAGTTCAAGGGTCACCAATTGGCAGCAAAATTTCTCCAGCACTGTGCAGCATTTGCGTTGCAGGCCATGAGATGACATGGCGGCAAACTTACCACATTTGGAGGCAATCGCCAGGGTTGCACCTTCTCCTCATGCGGTATGTAGACAACAGGCTCACAATCGTTGACCAACAGCATTCTACAGATCACCCTTTGGCTGTTTGGCTCCACAAGTGGTTTTATGGCAGGCCTATCGAAGTTGAAGAAGTTGAGGACATCAACTTTTTAGGTTTTGACATTTACCCACACAAACGGCAAGTCAAATTTATTGATGTTGACAAGCCGTGGAAAGTCAGGAGTCCAGCCAATGCAGGAACAAACAACCTCACACTTTCAGGATTTCGCAGCAGAGCACACTTGATTGTCAACTATTCTTTTCCAAAGGAATTGATTCCAGGAAGTTTGAGCGCCCTTCTTGATTTGTATCACAAAGCTGGCTTTTCATTTTCCATTTTGCAAGACACTTTGCCAAAAACGGCATACCGGCATCTCCCAAGAAAAAAAGCCGCTGCCCGTCATAGCTACGGGCGTGTGTGTGTGCGGAACCCTGTTAGCCAAGGGAATGCATGTCCTGTTCTTACCTTTCCTTGTTCCCTCTTTCACCTCTGGTTTCATGTCTTCATCATCCATTTCGCGCAAAGAAACAAAGAGAGACAAGAGAAGCAGTCGGTGCCCACTCTGCTGGGCTTGGGCATCCTGATGAGGAAACCCAGCAGAGCATCCGAAACTGCAAAGAGACAGAGACAGATTTCTTTCATTTTCATCCCTGCGCCAGTTTAACTGGCCAGCGCGACAAAACTCCGGCTATGCATAAAGAACTCCAAAAGATCTGCGATTGGATCAGGATGTTCGCATAAGACTGGGGGCCGCTCAGCGGTAACACTACAAGTGTGTGTGTGTGGGTGTGGGTGGGTGTGGGTGTGGGGTGGGGTGGGGGTGGGGTTGTGGGTGTGGGTGTGGGTGGTGTGGCGCAGGCATCCAAATGCCATCATCCAGGATGCTAGCAACACTGTCCAGCGCTCATCTCCGACTGCATGGAGCTCGACAATCCTGTCCTCCAAAGCTTTGAGGAGGGGAGGTTGGACCACCGGAGCCTGGCCACGAGGTTGGCACCTGTAAGTTGCTCAGGTGATCTCCTGGTTGGCGTTCTTGTTCATCCACCTGAGAGCTTGGAGGGCCGACCCCAACTTCAGGATGTGGAGATTGTGCGCCACAAGGTGGTCAATGATGGGCAGCTTATGGTTTTGCTGAAAGAGACCATGGAGCCTCAGAGAGAGAGGCTTGGGTTTCGGATGCATGTGTCCCTGCAGCAGTTTTGTCGAAATATTTGCGACCAAGAAAAGCTCAAGCCTCGCAAGCGGTCACATGAGGATCAGTCGCAAAGCCTTGGCGAAGCATCTTCTCCATTGCCATCCCCGAGCTGCGTTGGTGTGCTGCAGGAACTGGTCCTGGTCCACCACCCGGAGGTGCGGGTCGCCCCCGACTCTCCTCAACTCCAGCTGTGTGCTCATTATTCTATCGATGGTGGCTTTCTTGGCATCTTGAACCTTCTTCTCGGGCATGTCTGCTTCCATTCAGAGCGAAAGCATCAGTCAAGATGCCTGCTGGCTTGTAGGAACCCCTGCCTTGGAACATTGAGACCAGGCTTGTGATGCGCTTCTGAATGGCATTGCTGTAGTTCTTGTCGGTGTTGATGGTCTTGGGCTTCTTCTTGAAGATGGTCTTCTTCACTGGGCGTGTGAGGGCAAGAACATTAGAGTGGCCTTCCACCGAGCACCTGCGGCCAGGAGGCCTTCTTCGACCCTGGCTCTGGTTTGAAGCCAGTCGTTGGCCACGTGGTGGCCCGCCAAGCCCAGCACTTGATCGTAGTCAAGGTAAGCATAGGCGAAGTCGTTGTCGTTCTGCAAGCCTTCAGCCTCGCGCACGCCACCTGAGCCGCTCACTGCGCGGCAATCTGACGGAGGGGGTCGGCAGCGTTCCAACCTTCCGCGCATTCACCCCCTGACGAGGATGAAGATGCTGCTTGTGCTGCATCGTAGCCCTTGCCACCTGATGCCATGGCGGCGCAAGCTAACACAGTGGCTAAGGTGCGGAGAGCAAAAAGATGCTGCGGTGTGGCGGCTGCTTCATCAACCTTGACACCTTCAGGAATCCACCAACATCTTCCGATGCTCCCCGCAGTTTGGGCAGCTGTGCCTCCATGGAAAACAGAACCTGGAGAGGCCCATGCAGCAACCCAACAGACGTGTCTAGTTGGGCCTCCACAGTGTAGGCACTGCGCCATAGTTCCAGCTTCTTGGGTTTTCAGTTAGCCGCACAAGGAGCGGTGCGCTCTGGTACCCGCTGCCCCCAACTCGAGGGAAATTGCGCGGCTTGATGAACTTGGCGGGGAAGCCGCGAACGCAGTAGTCTACGTTTGTCAGGTTTCAAAGAGCTCGCCCATTCCCAGCTGCCTTGGATCGCCGCTGAGCATCTGAGCTGCAAAGCTCGGCTGCCAGTACTGGAGCCCCATAGGCGGTCAAGAGAAGGAGATCCATCTTCTCTTGGTGCTCATAGTAGTTTTCCCAAGCATCTCCCGGCTGAACATCGGGTGGAATGATGACACCACGGCAGCTCCACAGCCGCAGCCAGATGAACTTGAACCCTCCAAGATGAGCTGCGCAACGTTGACAATCTCGCTTGCAGCAAGACATTTTGACCAAGGGAGGAACAAGTCAGATTCACTGGTATAGGGGGGATGACAAGTGGGGAATGCATGATCTCGACTGCGTGCATCCAACACGTGTATGCAGCCAATTGCCAGCCTCTCCAAATGCTGCTTGAACTCCAAGAAGGCTGTCACCCCGCGTGATCCACCAGGCCACCCCTGGAACTATCTAGGTCAAGACAGGTCACCCCTCCCGAAACCTAGAAAGAAAGCAATGAATGCTATTTTGGTTCAACTCCACTTGAGCCAAAATGATAGCATTCATTGACTCACTTAAAGATGACACATGCACCCAAAGCCTGCCAAGCTCAATGCATGAATAGAAATCCATCTGGATCGCTTTGGGCCCAACTTCAGCCCAACATGACCAATTGGCGCCAACTCGCGCCCCAGTTGGGTCCAAGACAATGGGCGCAAGTTTGGGCCAGGTGGGGAAGCCCGGGCCGAGTTGGGCCTAACCCGAGCCAATCTTGCGGCCTCAATGCGACACGCTGGCAACTTGCATTTTTACCCCTATTTGCTATTTGATGAGGGCTGGTGCGAAGCCATGTTGCCCACATTGGGCTTGTCTTGGGCCCAACTTCGGCGCCATATGCCTCCACACAGGACCAAGTTGCGCATGCTGAGCCCAACTTAAATCCAAAGTTGGGCTCAAGCTGGGCCCAAGTTGGAGCCAACTGGTCCGAATTCGGCGGAAGTTACGCCCAAGTTCGGCCCAAGCGGGCTCCTCTTCAACCAACTTAAGGCCAAGGACGGCCAAGTTTGACCCCAGTCGGCGGTTGGTTGGGCCAAGTAGGCCCCCTTCTTTCCTCTCCGCCCTATTCCCTGGTTGCGGGCGGTTCTCGTTGCGAAGCGAGTTGAATACCTGCCAAGAATACTATCCTCACTGCCAACAATCAATAGGAAATGGTTCTGAAAGTGTGTCTCTCCCAATTTTAGGTATGTTTACAGGATTTGGAACCGCACAACATGTCCCTGATGGAAATGGATGGGCGATCATTGGGCAATTGACCATGTTCCAGAACCTTTTTTCAGAATCCCATCTTTTTTTGCTTCAACCCAAATGATATAGGATATACGGTGGGCCAAAAATCATGAGGTCCTGAAAGCGGGGTTGAAGAATACATAATGTGTTCTTCTGGTTATATTTTTGACAGCCTCAAAACCCAAAAACCCAAAAGGTCTACAGGGGTCGAAAAAGAAGGTCTACAAAGACCCCTAGACCCTTGACCCTCAAGGGGGGGCACTCTAGGCCTTAAGTCGTTAAGGGTATCAAAATGTCACAAACACATTCCCATACTCTACCACTGTCACAGTCACCACCAAACACCACGCCATACCATTACGGTACCACAAACACAACCATAACCATAACCATAATCATCGTGCTCAGTGCACGCTTTGGCCTTTTTGTGCAATGGCTGGTCCACAGGGCATTTTCCGGCTTGCCTGGCTTGCCTCCTGATTTTTTTGCACAGTGCCGTCCTTTGTTACCTCCTGCTAAACACTCTCTATCTGCACTCTTTTTTCGCTCTTGTTTGGCACACATTGCTCCCTTTTCTTTTCCCCCGAAGGGGGCCAGGGTATTGAGCAGCATGTGATCCACATTTCGTTTCCCCTGTCGGGCCGGGTTCATAGTTTTCTGCCTCGTGCGGGGGGTGCAATTTGTTCCTCTTACTGGTTCTCGGGTTGAACCGTGACCTGACGTGACGTTCCCTAACGTTCAGTTCCGTTCCATTACATAGACTTGCATGTGCGCACATACGTACATATGTATCACATATAGCCTTAGCCTTCAAATATCGGGTTTGAGGTTGAGATACCCTAAGAGATGCCCGGAATGTTTGCAGCAGTTGCACATGCATTAAATACATTTTCGGAGATGCTGGAGCCCGATGTGTCTTCTGGGACATTCACTTTAGAATGCATGTGTTTACTGTGCTTTGGACCTGTTCTCCTACGTTTCAGTTTTTTGGAGAATGGGGCACTTGCCGACACACTAGAAACCTACAATCCACATGGTCTATATTGTATAGACTCAACATGGGATGAGAACATTGGGTCTGCTTGGTTCATAGAACGCGTCAAGCGCACAACCACATGAGTTGGCGAAGAAATGGCTGTGCCCACCTTTCTCTTCTTTCTCTTTCATTTCCACTGGAAGTGAAGGAACAATTTGAAATTTGAAGCCTTTCAGATCCTTTCAGTTTGCCCCTCCGTTCAGACTGGCCTGGGCGGTCCTGTGGAGCACTCTGTGAGAACCTAAGTCTTGCATCTGGAAAGCACGGTCCTCTTTCAGCCGTTCGATTCCCTCCATGTTTCTCTCAATGGCAATACATGCGAAGTACATCGAAATATAACCCCAAAACATCAAAACATCTCAAAACTCGGAAATCTCAAAATGCACAAGTCCAAGCAGCGCCATACTGGTCAGCAGGCACCCCCCAAAGGGGCCAGGGCTGCCAATCTTGTCACTGGAGCCAACGGGAAGGTAGCAAGTCAGTCTTCCAGAGTGTATAATCTGCAAAAACGTCTTCTTCAAGTGACGCACAAACACGGTTTCTTGCGCAAAGGATCTGCAGGGAGTCTCCTATGCCTGAATATTTTCCCGTCGCGGCTTCTTTTGAATGCTACGTCGCATTTGAGCTACTTTGGCCTTAAGATGCCTTCAACTGACCATAACAAGTTGTAAGCATGGCATCACTTTGTGAGCGTCTTGCCAATCTTATTCACTGCGGCTGAAGGCATGTGCAACTTCTTTGCCAATCGATTTCGTGAAACAGGAGCTGAAGTGCATTGTCACTTGAGCGTTTTTGATTTTTCCTCCTGCCACCCTCACTTCAAATCATGCTCAACCTCTCAGGTCCAGAGGGTGTGGCCCATATGACATCCAACATGAGCAAGGTGCCGCATGACACGCAACTTCGCACAGGTGCAGCTTAATTGCAAATCGTTGAGTTTCCTTCAACCCCCTCCTTCCTCAATTCTAGCCAAGCAAAGCAACTTCGATTATATAATATACCAGTAGTGCCGCACAAGGCGGCAGCGGAAGTTTCAAAGATAGGAAATTATAGGAGAGGTTGGTTGTTGTGAATCACGGATGGCAGCGCGAATCAACTAATGAACCGAAAGGTGGTTGGAGCTGTGTTTGCTGAAATGGTTGCAATGGTTGCAGTGGTCACCTCACCACAACTGCTGGATGTAGTGTGGTGTGGTGCAGCTGTACTTGCAGATGTAGTGTAGCGTAGTGGAGCTGTAGTTGTAATGTAGTGTAATTAGTTCAGTGTAGATGTTGTTGCTGTTGCAGTTGTAGTTGTGGTGTAGTGTAATTAGTGTAGTGGAGTGTTGTGTACTGTAGTGTGGTATAGTGTAGTGTAGTCTAGTCTAGTGTAGTGTAGTGTAGCTGTAGCTGTGGCTAAAGTGTAGTGTAGTGCAGTGTAATGTAGTGGTAGTTGTAGCTGCAGTTGTAGTTGTAATGTATGTTAATTACTGTATTGTAATGTTGTGTAATGTAGTGTAGTTGAAACTGTAGTTGTAGCGATGGTGGTGGTGGTGATGGTGGTGGTGGTGGTCGTAGTAGTAGTAGTAGTAGTAGTAGTAGTAGTAGTAGTAGTAGTAGTAGTAGTAATAGTAGTAATAGTAGTAGTAGTCGTCGTCGTCGTCGTCCTCATCCTCGTATAGTCGTAGTATAGTCGTAGTATAGTCGTAGTATAGTCGTAGTATAGTCGTAGTATAGTCGTAGTATAGTCGTAGTATAGTCGTAGTATAGTCGTAGTATAGTCGTGTAGTATAGTCGTGTAGTATAGTCGTGTAGTATAGTCGTGTAGTATAGTCG